AAATGATGTGATTGGAAAATCACAGGCCTGTCAATTGTGTATGAAAATAATTTTAGCTGGAAACTGGCGAAGGCAATAAGGCAGCTATAAATACTGATAACCCACTGCCAAGCAGAAGATTTTTAAACAATCTATGAATAGTAAATGAAAGAGGGGTGCATAATACAACCAAAAGTCGGAGAGTGATTCTCTAGGCTCTTCAATGGCGCCCACAAATTTCTGGGTTCTACACTCTTCAAAAATATTCATATTAACTGTTTATAGGAAGGCTACACACCAACGATTGTGAATGGGGTGCTTGGTAGAAGGTGAAATGGTGAAATTGTAGAGCTGGCAGAGCTTTAACGACCCTATCAACACTATTAGGTTATTTAAGAGGCGGGGAACCCTTAAAAAAAAATTAATACATCCCACCGAAAATATCGAGACAGTAATACAAAATTCACCCCTCTTGAAAATCGAAGCAGATACATTTATATATCAACATTGTCCGCAGGTTGTTTAATATTCCAGAAAGGGAAAAAATCAGAAGCAATTTTTAAAAATCCAGTTTCAATTCATTTCGCCTACGTCAAACACATTTATTTTAAAAATAAAGCATCAACTCCTCTTCTTCTGACCAACGAGTTTGCGTTTGAATGACACTTCCCTCCAAAAATCTGTTAACCAATGGATCCTGTTGTCGTTTTTCCAGGGGATTATCTATTGATTGCACTTGGTATAACGAACACGGAATACAAACCTGTCAATTTCCTTTAAATATTTGTCAGTACTGTTTTGAGTGAAGTAAAGCGAACTTTAGACGAAATTGACACATCGCCCCGTTCCCACGCATTTTTTCAGTGCCCAAACTCGGATTTTCAGGCGCCTACAATTATTTTAGACAATCTTAATAACAAAAAGAATGACCATGACATGAATCTAATAAATGCATCGACAATATCGATAATTATAACAGTGCCAGTTAGGATAATAGTAAACATGACAACGGAATTAACATAGACAATGAAGATGACAGTACGTTTGAGAACTAATAATTGCCATGTTCAGCATGAGGTGAAGAGCTGCATTTTAGTTAAATCAACTTTACGGTATGTTGTTCTTTATTGTATTAATGAAATGTTCTGCGCAGACCGAGATCTACATGATCTTGAAATTAATCATTGATTAGTATACACTATTTTTTTTAAAAAATGATTTGCGTTTTGTTGCTTTGGGCTTTTTCCGCGGAAAGGGGGAGAGGGGGGTGGGAGACAGCAAATTTTAAATTTTATTGTGCTTTTGTACAAAGTTTTCAGTAAAATCCACACATACATCTAAATGTGTTTTCAAACGGACATTAAATATGAGAGAAAAAAGAAAATTTGAAAAATAAATAAATAAAATTGCCCAACGGCAATAACAATGCAGATATCTTTGATTTCAATCTTTTGACTAGCACATACTTTCACCTCAATTCTATAATATTGTATAGTCACCTTTCCTTATCATGGGCTAGTTAGTAACCCAAACAATGTTCTATAATAAATGATGCCAAACATGTCAAAAGATTGTCCTTTCTGTGTGTTTGCTGCAAGTCACGAATAGAATTATACAGGTCACAAACAAAAAATATACTATTTTGCAGAACTGGCATCTTATCTGCCCTTCACTCTGGGCTGAAATTGTCATTTATAGCTTCGAAAAAGGTCAGAAAATAACCAGTGACACAGTTAACTCTTAACATTGGCAAAAATTGATCATGGGGAGTATGTACCATAATGGTACGTATCTCAGACTTTCATAAAGAGAATCCAGGTTTTCTCAAACAAGTGTCTAAGGAAGTTAATGAGGATGAGGTAGACAGACGTGTCAACAACTTTGTTAAACGTTATGGCGACATTTAAAAAGATGAAAACAGTTATTCCCGCTGTCTCCGAAAGAAAGGTTCCAGCGTTTTATAAATCAAAGTGAGACATTTGGATTGAAGAACCCTTTGCGTATTTCAAAGCAGATTCCAGATCCAAGATTTATTTAAAGTATTAAAACACATACACACACACACACACACACACACACACACACACACACACACACACACAAACAATGGATTCTGATTCGCATTTTCTGTAAGCGTTGGCGAAGCGCTGAACTGCCACCACTGGTCTTGCTCTCTCAACTGTCACTGTTTCTAAGCTGTGACCAATGCAATTATTTGATAACCGAATTTAGTAGGCTATGAAAGTAGAACGTCCTGTGTGATATGTACAGGTGCTTGAAATAGACCAAGGAACAACACTCTTTGTTTCCAAGCCTGACTTAGGAACTTTACTTTCCACTAACAAAACAAGATACAACGAATTACTAACTCACGCTCCGTACTCCACTTTGAAAGTGTTTATTAATAACAATAATAATAATAATAATAATACTGATAATGATGATGATGATGATGATGATGATGATGATGATGATAATGATGATGATGATGATGATGATGATGATGATGATAATGGCACTG